GCAGTGGACCCTCTTTTGTGTTTAAGCCAGTTTGAGAAGACTTCTGGGTAACCCCGGCTTCTTGTCTCTGCAGGTCCAGCACCTCGCACAGGTGTGACGCAGACCCAGAGCTTGGCAAATGGTGTCAAATGCACCAATAAAAGTGGGACTAAATGTATGGACTTGAAGCATTTTTAGGAGTGGACTTTGTTTTCACAAATAGAATCTTATCTAAAGCAAATGAAAGTGATTCCACAGACATTTAAATTTTCATTGCTTACTGAAAACTGTTTCCTTGTTGAAGGATTATTTGAAGTTCCTGAAATCTACCTACTTGAAATCTAGGTTTATTCCTTCACTCCATATTTAGTTATGGAGCAGCAGCTGTGTGCCAGGTACTTGAGAGAGAGCATGAATAAAACAGGAACCCTGCCCCTGGGGAGCTTGCATTCTGGTGAGAGAGACAATAAAAATGTAAATTAAACTCTGATAGAGATCATATCAGAGCTCTGAGGACAGAAAATGGAGGATGAGAGAGAAGGCTGGAGGGAGGCAGCAGGGTAAGCCTCTCTGAGCTGAGATGGGAGGGGGGAGGAGCAGCCCCTCAAGGCCTGGAGGAAGAACTTTCCAGGTGGCTGATGCTAGGGAGGGGCTCCCTGGAGACTTGGCCTTTTGAGATTCCAAAGAGGCAGGCTGGTAAAGAGTACAACAGCTGAGACTGGACGCTGTCAGTTTCTCTGTGCCATTTATTTGCTGGGCAATCCCCACAGGTCTCTTGCCCTCTCTGGGCTTTGTTTCATTGAGTACTGAAAGAAGGTCTGGCAGCACAATCTCTAGGAGCTGTTCCAATAATGAAGATCCAGGGGCATTTGACAGACAGGACACGTGTAAAGCACAGACCACACTCTCTCAAGAGTTTGAGTCCAGAAGGACAGAGGACTGACAGGCAGAGTCAAGGCTGTGCTCTGTGGGGCAAAGGGGATAAAGCCGAGGTTCTAAGGTTCCAACAGCTTTGTCGCTGCAAAATGAAGATATTCCTCCATCTTCCTGTCTCCCATCCCTGTCTGCAGGAATAAAAACAAGGTGGCAAAAACCCAGAGTACTCCGCTTAGCTGTCAGCAGCCCTCCGACTGGCTGCAGTCTTGGAAATAAATGATCCCGTCAGCTGCCGAGGAGGGTGAGCTCAGGATTTCAGATGAAAATGAAATAAGAGGGAACGCAGCCCAGAAGCAATGCAAAGTAACGACAAGGGTACTAAAATCTTCCACTGCAGCAAGACAGATGCTCAGAGTGGTGCAGCAGGGTGCTGACCTCAAACGTGGGGACAGCGGGGATGAGCTCATGCCCAGGGGCTGGCTGGTGGGCCCTGCACTTCTGGGATCCACATCAGAGGGGACCAGCTGGGGGGCCCATGGGGCCACTGCTTCCTGGCTCCACTCCCATCCTGTCCTCCTCCTGCTAAAGCCTTATATTCCTGCATGTCTCCACAACAAATGGCTTACAGTGACAAGTCTGTGGGGCCACCCAACTTCAACTCTGTGCCAGGGAAGGAAAGCCTCCAACCTGTCGGACTCCCAGCAGGAGGGAGATAGGTTACAATCCCAGGAAATTAGATGACGCAGAAATGGTAACAAAAACCGTCTACAGGGGCCTCTAGTCCTGCCAAAATCAGTTCCAGGGGCATTCTGTCTGTGTCACAATCACCGCTTCTTATTTTCTGGCTGTGTAATCCTGAGCAATGTACTTCCCTGCGCCTCAGTTCCCTGGCCAGGGAAATAAGTGTCCTGACCACGTGGGCTGAGAATTAAACATAAAAATCTGAGAATGGTATCTGGCATCTGGCCCATGGTAAGTGCTCTCGATAAGTTAATTTTAATTTTTTTAATTTATTGTTTTATATTCATTTAAAATACATCTTTGTAAGTACCAGTAAAGCAAAATAGCACCAGCTGAGTTAAAACACCCATCTGAGCTCATTGGTACTAAGAGTCTTCAAACTGGATTCATAGAAAGCGTTCTCCTGACTTTCCCCTCCAGCATCTCTCAACAACCTTCAGCAATCATCTCAGCCTCCCTTTGAACCTTGCTAAGCATTTACCAGGGCGTAGCACTGGTGAGCTGTCTCTGCTCCTAAAGAAACAAAGTTGAAAGCAGGGGTTAAAATCTCAGATGCCTATGGAACCAGAAAGGTAAAATAAATGTGTAAAGGGAACCTGGTGTGAGACACTAAGGAGTAGTGGGGACTGTGGCAAATTGGAGAACCCATGTTCTAGCTAAAAGGAAAAGCTGCTACCAGCTCTAACCAGTTTTTGCCAGGGAGGAATGCAGGGCCAGGGTTGGCACATCTTCTAAGTTTTCAAGGGAAGCAAAAAAATCCAGATTCTTATGTGAGATCTGTTAAGTTTCAAATATTGGTACATAATTCATTATTTTTAAAACACATAAGTTCTAGCAAGATATATCTATTTGCATCCTCTAAGTTGAGGGGACAGAGCCCTCCCAGCTCTTAGTAACTACCAGGCTTGAGACCTCTCCCTGCAAAACCCAGAATATCCTGGCAAGGCTGGAGCAACAAGGGACTCTAGACTTAATTAAGCTCCAGGCAGAGCACCTACTAGTTGATAAAGGCTTTGAAGAAGAGTGAGAGAAAGAGTTCCCTGAGAGCTGGAGCAGTGGAGGAAAATGGAAAGAAGGAGATGGGCTTTGACATGGGCTCAGAGGGCTGTCAGGACTAGGAACAGGGAAGGGACGACCCACAACTGGGTGTTAGAAGGAGCTGAAAACTCTGATTCAGCGCTGCGCCCTAGCAAGTGTGAATCTAGAAGGCACACTGCAGCACTCTCTTGAGGGGATTCTACTTGGTAGGTGATCGTACACTGCTCTGGGCTGATGGCAGTTGGAGGCAGCACGGAGGACGCAGGATCCTCCTGGGAGAAAGCACAGCGCACCACTCTCTCCATGTGCCTTAACTTAGCTTGGAAGTCCTCTACCCCATGCAAACTTCTCTCAGTGCATGATATGCTCATGTGCAGCCTCCCTCACTAGACAGTGAGCTCTTCTAGGGCTGGAAATGTGTCATTTATATCCTGAGTGCTTGCTCAGTGGTTGGCACCTAGAAGGTCCTTACTGAATGTGTGCACATGATCAGTGAATGAAACTAGAGAAGAAGAAGCAACGTTATCAAAGAATACACTACATGAAACACTTGCAAAACAGAAAACTCCTCCAGAACAGGACAAGTGAGTGAAGGCATCAATGCTCACTGCATGCGGCAGCCATGGAGATTTGGTGTTTGCAGAGAAGGACACCTCACCTGGGGGTGGGGGGGGGTCAGGAAAAGGACAGTAACATCCCATTATAACCAGAGTCAGCAAGGTCTAAGACAACCCCACAGCTCCCAGGAGATGGACACAGTGAACAGCCTAGCAGACCTCTAGTGGGTGTTTTGAATCATTCCAGAACTTGAGTCAGATATAACCCCTTCCCTAGATAGATGGTGCAGCTGAGAGGCTCGGGGCTTGTGTCCAGTCACGTGGGTCATCTAGTGGCACAGTCTGGAGCAGAACCCAGGTCTCCTGACTCCGAGTCCAGTGCACCTTGGACAGAGGCAGGTAAGGCACTAGCCAGGAGGTTCAACATTTAAGGAGGTGCCAAATAGCTCAGTAATCAAGGTAAATAACATTTGATTCAATATTTTTTAAAAAAACATTAGTACAAAATAAATCCATGATGAGCAAAATACTTTTAAAATAAAGACTTAAATCAAGTTGTGCCCTTGCATGCCTCAACGTCACTGCTGCATCCTGATCCTGGCCCAGACAGACTAGGGTCCCCAGGTGGCAACTGACTGAGATCTGCAGGAACTGGTCATGTGGAAATCTACAGGAACATCGCTCCAGGCTGAAAAGACAGAGCTTGTTCAGGGCGTCTGAGGCATAGAAAGGAGGCCTGGGCAACAGTGACAGCAGGAGAGATGGCAGGTAGATGCCGCTCATCCTCAGCCCTACCCCAACTCACAAAGCAGCACTTTCCTACAACAAGATCCCCTGTCTGGAGAGCTAAGAGTGAAAATCCACCCCACCCCCCCACCAACCCACACACACACACACCCGACCCAGACTTCCCTCCTAAATCTAACCACTTGTCTTGGAAATCTAAGCCTTTCATCTCCAGCGGGAAGATGGATTAAAAAAAGTTGGAGCAGCTCTGGATAACCCTTCATGCCAGAGAAAAACAACCCAGAACTTTATGGCTTACTGACAGCTGGTTATGAATGGAAGGAAAGCAAGTTCTTATGCCGCTGACAGTTAACTCCCTTTTAAGGTATTTCCTCAGGGCTGGGGACTGCCACATCCTCCTCCTGCCCCCAACACTAATTGCAGCTTGCTTTTAAGTGACAAATGTGGGCTTTTAGGTCACACAGGCCTCGGTTCAGATCCATCCTTGCCATTTACAGACCCTAGACAATTTGCCAAGAGGAGAGGTCAGCCACTCATGCTTCCAGGGACCAGGGCAGGTGGGGAGTAACTTAAATGACATGATGAGGGCTGGGGAGCAAACCACAGAATCTGGCACCAGCATACTGCTGGTATGAGGGGTTGTCAGCCAGACCTCCCAGTGTTTCAAATGGAAAAATTTCATGTGAAATCCCCAAATTTTAAAGGTTGACTAATTCAAACTTTTTTAAAATGCTGAACCCATTAGGACCACATAAAACAGGTCTGAGGGGCCAGAGCTCACCTACTGGCCCAGTTTGTGCCTCCAATGCCTAAAAAATCACCCAGCAATCCACCCAGCACTTAGTAGGTGCTCAGAAAGCATTGATCAAGCCCATCTTTTCAGAAACCTTCACAGGCATCATCAACATCCATTTCCACACAACAGCTTGAGCAAGAATGCTTCACAGGAGAGAAATGAAGATATGAAGAGAAGAGCTGAAAATCTGGAAGGCTCCAAATGGAGGGAGGAGCTGCAAAGAGGGAATTCCTTAAAAGGATTTAAAAGAATTTTATTGGACATAGTTTAGCACAAGTCAGGAATAAGATCAGGCAGTAATTTAACTCTTGGGCACAGTAAGTGAGTAGTAAGTCTGCGTCTGTGAGGTGGGGGGAGGACAGGACTATCCTTACTGATGGTCCCCACCTAGTGTTTGAGGGTCTTCTGTCCACAGGTCACCCCAACATTTGACTCAGGAGCACAGTGTTCTCATATGCCTGGTCCCCAGGGACAGCCCCTCTCCAGAGGTGCTCATACGGTGCAGCTGACTGGCCACAGTAGGAAGCAAGGCTTGAGTTCTCCAGTGGATCTGGTAGCTCATGTGGGCTTTAAGTCAGACCCAGCTGGGCTGAGGTTCAAGTCTTCAACATTAGCAGTTCTCAAAGTGTGATCCCCAGGCCAGAGCCTGGAGAGTGACGGCAGGAGGCATCCATCTGGGTTCTAACAAGCCTTCCAGAGGATTCTGATGACAATGAAGTTTGAGAACTGCTCTACATCTTCAACCTGTGGTCTTCGGCAAGTCCTGGGTGTCACTGGGAGCATCAAGTCTCTCCCGTGATATTGTCCTGAGTGTTACACCCACAATTATTTCAGAAGCTTGGTCTCTCTGCGCCTGGTTTGTGGAAGATACCGGGGGATAGCAAGCAGTCCCGACCCTGATGGAGCTTGATGTCTAGTGGTGAGACAGACAACAGGCAAAGAAAAATGATAGAAAGGCCGATTTCCAGATGGGAGAGGAAGGCGGGGACCTGCCCCACTACATGGAGCTGTTTCTCAAAGTGCACTGCGCGGACCGCCTGACCCCCAAACCCGCACAGCCGGCTGGACCTCCTCCCCAGTGCCCCTCTCTGGCGTCCCTGAGGGTCCTCAGTCACACCTCCCTCTCCCTCCCATAGAAGGGCCATGGGCTTTGCCATTCCATCCACCTGCAAAGCTCTCTTCCCAGATCTTGCAAAGATGAGCTCCTCCTTGTTCAGGGCTCAGTGTCAACGTCACCTCCTCAGAGATCCCCCTGAAGTGGTCTTTCCCTTTGCTCTGTTCCCTGACCCTGCTGGACTTCCTTGCCCCTCTCACAGACTGCAGTCCTGCACAGTAGTGGTTTTCCTGGGTCTGCGGCTTCCCCAGCAGAAGGGGAGCTCTTGCGGCAGGTCCTTGACTGCGGCGGTCGCCTCCGTGTCACCAGTGAGCAACGTTTGCTGAAAGACTACGCAACGGTATTTCTCTTCATTAAGTCCCAGGAAGAGCGGCACTCACAACTCCAGAACCTGCTCCCCACCGGTAAGGAGAGGCCACAGGCCCGGCCGACTGCAGGGTTTCTTCAGGCCTTTCTTGATTTTCTGATGGTGGGAAAAGGTGGTAGAGCCTGGAAGGAAAAGAGGAAAGGAGGGCGCGAGGCAAGGGGCCCTAAGAGGCCAGTTCTGCTGACGCGGCCTCTGGGGATGAGCGCTCCAACCCAACCCCCAGCAAAAGCGCAACTCCTACCAATTGCGAGGCGACCCGTCGCTCCGGGCCGGCGGCCTGGGCAGCAGGTGCTGGAACCCGGACCCCAGGACCCGGTCCGAGTACCCGGCGCCGGCGGGGTGTGCGGGGCGGCTGGGCCACGCGGACTCCGGGCGGTGGCGTTCGCAGACCTGGAAGGAAAGGCACTTGGCGCGGCAAGTGTTGTCCCAACAGACTGACGCTGGAAAGTGCGTGCATGCCCTGGCCCGCACTGGCAGGAGCTGCCCAAGGGCAGCGCTGCACTTGGACTTCCCGGGAAAAGCACAAGACAAGGCGCGTGCGGCTTCCAGAACGTGGAAACGCGTGGGGCGCGCGGCCCCGGCGCAGCGCAGCGTGGGGACCTTACGTAGCACGTGTAGACCCTGGGGCAGTGGCGCGAGGGTTCCAGGAGCCGCGGGGCCCTGGGACCGCCAGGGAAGGGCAGTGGCTGGCGCGGGACCCCAGGAGGTTGGCTCGCGGCGGAGCGCGGGGGCCGAGACGGCCGGGGCGTGCGGGCGCAGGGGCAGCGGGGCGCCGGGGGGAAGGAAGAGAAGGCGGCGGCGGCGGGCGCTTCGCGCGTGCAGCCCGGGGCCAGAGCGCGGGGAGGTGTCACGCGGGGCGCTGGCCCTCCGAGGACCTGGGTCAGGAGCCGGGCCGCCGGGGAGCGCGGTCCCGCACGGCGCGGCCGGAGTTCGGCTGCGGGGGCGCCGCCCGCCCCTCTCCCCGCCCCGCGCTCAGCCCCTCCCTCCGGCCCGCCTCCTGCCCGGCTCCCTCCCTCCGCGGCTGCGGCGCGGCGCTCCCGGCGCACTCGGAGCCCGGCGGGTACCGGGAGGCAGAGGCGGGGCGGCCCTGGGTCCGAGTGCGGGAGCTGAGCCAGGCCCGGGGGCCGAAGTTTGCCCGCGCCTCCGGGGGACGGCGTGGGCGCCCAGGTCGTTCCCAGCCCGTTCTCGCGTCCTCGCCCGGGTCCTGCTGGCATCCCGGGGGACGGAAGCCGCGGCCCGGCCAACTCCGAGGCAGGGACGCCGTGCCGGGAACTTAAGGTGGGAACTTTGCGCGGGGCAGCCTGGCCGGGCGCCTGGGAACTCGGGCTCCGGGAGAGCTGCACGTGGCCGTGGCCCTGAGCTCCCCTGCGGGGACCCGGACCGCCGAGGCGGGGGCGACAGAGAACCCGGGAGCCGCTGTGGGGTCCGGCTTCAGTTCCTCAACGGGGTCTCGGGGTGCCAAGTGCTGGGGGTTCGCCCCCGAGGTGACGGGGCGGGGGGCGCATCCTGGCTGTGGCGGCCGCTTCTCGCGGGATCCGAGGAGGAGGAGGGAGTGTTGGGGAAGGTAGAACGGGGTGTCTGTCACCTGCTCGTTCACTCTACCTTTAAGCCCAGAATGGAGCATTCCCGGCAGTGGGCTTGAGTCATTCATTAACTAAATGAGCCTTTGTGGAGCGCCTGCTGTGTGCTAGGCGCTGGGGAGTCCCAAGACGGCTCTGTTCACTGGAGGCTCCTGCGTTCGGTAGGGAAAGTGGGTGGTCGCCTCCTCAATCTAAGGGGCTCCTGGGAGAGGCTCAGCCTGGATGGATTGGAGCTTTGGGTGAGGTAGGAAAAGAGGGAAGTTTATTCATTTGTGGATTGGACGAAGGTTAGTTGAGCACCTACTAGGTGCAGCTTACCTTGCCAAGTGCCCAACATTCATTATTTCCTCATTTAACGGTTATTGAGGCAGTTATGGGGAGAGAACACTGAAGGACAGGGGCAGGATGGGAACAGGATTGGAAGGAAGCAGCCTTGCAGTTTGGAGACAGAAGTACGGATTTAGACCCAGCCCCTCCCTTAAAGAGGCCCCAGCCTGCCGAATGCAGTACTGTAGCCCCTGTGTGTATCTGGACAGGTTGCAGAAAGGCCTTTCTTTGATTCATCTTCTGCATTCCTTCTCAAGGGTAGAGGGCGCCTAGGATAGGGTCTTGAATAGGAAGGGAAGGATGGTCAAGGGGAACCGATTGAGAAACACTGATAGCTTTAGTGATGAATGCAGGCTTCCACCATTATCAGGGGTTGCTTAGTTAAGTTGTCCATTCAGCAGGCATTTTCTTAAGCACCTGCTATGCTTAAGCCCTTAAAGGGTCTAAGCACCAAAGTCACCCAGTGAATGAGAGACCCAAAGACCCCCTTTGCTGACACCTTGAGAGAAGTGCAGGAGGAGGTGCAGGAAGGATCGAGAGCTGCTCTGATGAAGGGGAGGAGTTGCCCTGCTTCTGTGAATCTGAGCAGGGGTTTGCTCACCAGGGTGGGTTTGATACCCACACATGACCACAGTCTAAGTCCCTATGGGGAGCGTCATGGGAGCACATCTCCCAAGGCGGGTTTGGCACTGCTGGAGATCCTTCTGGGGCAGGGGAGGGGCACGTGGCCAGAACATGCCCTCTCTCTCAAGTGGACTTGTCAGGCTCTGCCAGACCTGAGCTTGACCCCCGTGCCTTCTGTCTTGAAGCTCCTCAGATGCACCTGCTAAGTGGGGAGGGAAGGAAGGTATGTTTTAAAGACAGGTCGGAGATGGCCCCTGGGGCCTGACCTCATCAGTCGATCCCTAAAGCAGCCCATTCCAGTGGAAAGATGTCTGTCACGGGACACAGTCCAAGCCCATGGGGAACCGTAAGTGTGCTGGAAATAAGACAGTCTCCATCACTGTCCTGAGGCCTGAAAGCACAGGCTGGGGAGCCCTGGGAGCCAAGCTCCAGGCCCACTGCCACTTGGAATTCTCTGCACCAGACACACAGCCGAGCTCTGGCAAGAGTGAGGGAGATGCCCCAGGGAACAGAAGAGCAGAGAGCTCTGTCCTCAATGCATGGCTTAGATACTCAAACTGGGACTAAAGAATTAACCCCCTGGACCCCTAAAGGATGTCTTGACTGGGCCCGCCTTCCTCCACATCCCCTTTCCTAATATGTTGAAGAGTCAGCATTTCCAACTGCCAAAAATATAGAGGTCTGGAAATCCACTCTTGGTTGACTCATTAAACCCAGGAATGGGGCCCCTGGGTGGAAAATGGCAGCTGGAAAAGCCACTCTAAATAGAATTAATAAAAAGCAAGAGGCAAGAAAGTCTAGCTGCAAGCACTCAGTCACCCTTGGCCATCGTTACTATGTAGCAGACAGTATTCGATTAACACAATCAGAACATAAAGTGAATGCCCTACAGATAGGGTTGGAGTCGCCTCTCATCTCCCCCTGCTCTGGGGTGACTTTGCCTCACATCTGTGCCTCCCCAGGCAGGCAGGCAGGCACAGCCATGCCCTCCCTCTTTCCTCCCTCACTTCCCCGCCACAGCTCCCACAGACACTGCAGCCTGCACACTTACTCAGGGCAAACAACTGAGGGGCTGTGTCAGCAGGATCCCCTGCCCCTGCCCCAACATACCGCTCCCCTGAGCCTGCTCCTCTGCTACGTCTGTGTTCCCAGATTTCAGACTGCAAGGAGCAAATAGAAAAGGACCTTCTGGCTCTCGCCCTAGAACACCTCCTGGCAGAAGGCAAATGTGCATTTGGTGTTATTTTGCCAAAAGCAGAGTAAGGAGGCTCCAGAGCCCACCCCGTCTTTTTTATAAGGAGAGAGAGTGACATGCTTTCTCGTTCGGGGGCAGGTGGGGGATGGAAGGAAGAACCCAGCTCCCAGCAAATACCTACCCCACCCCATGACTTGGGCTCCAGGAAGCAGAACTGAGGTCCGGCATGGCTGGAGGGTGAAGGCAGATTCTCCTTAGGGGCGCAGCATCTCGAGGAGATCTAGCTTGCCGGGACCCGGGCCAGCCTAATGCTGGATCCATTTTGATTAACGTTTTAATTGGGGATTAATGCAACACGACCCGCCTCTGAGTCAGCCCAGCGAGCAGCGCCAGCCCTGACAGATGAAGCCGCATGGACAGGGGAAGGGCAGCGTGGAGAGATGGATGGGCTCCCTCTGCCCCTGCTCAGAGTGAGGGAGCGACACAGGTTGGGAGGCTGTGGTGTGAGAGGAAGAACCCAAAGCCGGAGGAGCTCAGGAAAGAGATGCTTGTCTCTTACAAAGTTGCCTTGGAGGTTGTGTCAGTTTCCTGCCGCCCCGTATGATCACCGATTTAATGGCTTAAAGCAACACAAATTTATTGCCTCACAGTTTTGGGGATCATAAGTCCAAAATAGGTCTTTTTGGGCTAAAATCAAGGGGTTAGCAGGGCTGTGTTCCTTCTGGGGGAGAATCCATTTCCTTGCCTTTTCCAGCTTCTAGATGCTGCCCACTTTCTGGGCTTGTGGCCCACATCCCCACAGCCTCTGCTTCTGTCACATTTCCTTCTCTGCCTCTGACCCTCCTGCCTCCCTCTCGTAAGGGCCCGGGATGACATGGGGCTGACCCAGACAACCCAGGATCATCTTCCTGTCCCAAAATCTTCAGTTTAAACAACCAGCAAAATGCCTTTGCCACATGAAGTAACATAGTCCCAGGTTCCAGGGATTAGGACATAGACGTCTCTGGGGGACCATTACTCTGCCTACCACGGGGGTGTGCCTCATCAGTTTATGTTACAGATAGGGAAACTGAGGCCTGGCCAAGGAGGTGACTTTGACTTCAGTACCAAATGAGAGGGAAAACCCATCCTGTGCTTCACATTCCTCCTCTAAGAAAGGAAATTCGAGGGTAGCAGGGGGAAGGTTACCAAGCTTGTTGCACAAAAGCCATTCTAGCAAACGCGGAGCCCTTACGCTACGCCAGCACAGTTTCAACGCTTGCGAGGCACATTGGGTGATTACCCCAGTTTAAGCTGGGGAGCCGCAGGCACAGAGAGGTGAAGTCATTTGTGTAAAGGTGAACAGCTAATAAATGGTGAGCCAGGCAGCCTGGCCCAGAGGCCACCCCCCTCGCCCGTGCCTGTCTCCACCATAGGAGAGCTCTTCTGTCCAGAGGTCAGAATGGCAATCCAGAATTTGACAAAACCAGGGGGTGTGTTTGATTTCTTACTCCACTCTTGTGCAAATATACAATAGGAATAATGATGTTTCCCCCAGCCATGGGCAATTGCATGCTTCTCCCTATCCCCAGAGACTTCCCAGAAGCTTGTACATAGAAAATGGAGACAAAAGACCCAGTCCCTCACTTGCTGCAGGTGGCAGAGACCCCCTAAACCCACATGCCAGGAACCAAGAATCCAAGGAGGCAGTAAAACACAGAGGTCAGAGAGTCTCACACACCTAGTTTGATACTGGCTTCATCACTTACCACAGTGTCATGAGTTTACACTTCTCCAGGCCTCAGTTTCCTCACCTGTAATATGGGGGTGATAATAGTAATGCCCTCCTCTTAGGGGAGATTGTGGGCTCACACAGTTAAGGCTCTGGTGCAGGCCCTAGCGCTTAGTGTGCTATCAGGGGAGGCTGGGACTGTGGCCCCTACGGCACTGTGCGTACTCAGCCCTCTCCGCATCCCCCCACCCCAGGAGAGGGACGGAGAGCTCCTTCCTTAGGTATGGGCATAGAGCTGGAAGGGCCGAGTCCCGAGAGGCCAGGGGTTTGTTGAAACCCTGGAAAGAAACGCAGACGGTAGGTAGCTCAGCAGCTGGCATCAACCCGCAGTCGTTTATGGGACCCTTTCCTGTCCTTGATGGGATGTGGCCCTGGGAGCTAGAGATCAGGTGACCCTGGTAATTCCTGCAGCGAACCTCCTTTCACAAGATCCTCCTAACAGCCCTGTGAGGCGGGCAGGGCAGTCTTACCCCCACCTCACAGGGAGGAAATAGGCTCAGAGAGGCGGGGGTCTCCGTGGCGCAGGGCGCTGTCTCAGGCCAAAGGCTGGTTAGCAGGAGCAGCATGAAAGTCCTGACTTGGACCTTCATTCCACCCCGCTCCCCACTCCAGCCCCCAGCAGGCCCTGCACCCCCACCCACAGTCAGACTCTCACCACAGAGTGGCCTCGTGCTGAGGCTGCCTCTCAGAACTTCTCAATTTTAATAACCACTCATTTATCTTTGGAAATGTGTACTCAGCCCTCAGACATACCTTGTGAACATCATCTTTCTCTCAAGAG